AATCGGATGCCTTTTGGGCTGAAGAATGCGCCGCAGATCTACCAGCGCATGATCGACAATGGCCTGTATGGGTTCATTCGGATCCCGAAAATGGCAGGTGATCTGGAGCATCTGGATGTTTTCGAGGCCGGATAACCCGAAGATCCGGGCAAATCATCAGTGTTAGGACGCAGTTCCTATATCGACGACATCTTAGTGCCAGCGGATAATTGGGACCAGCTATGTGACCGAGTCGAAGATCTCCTGGAGGCGTGCGACAAATGGAACTTGTCGATCAGCGTTGTCAAGAGTTTCTGGGGCATGCCCAAGGTGGAATATCTCGGTCACAAGGTATCGCACGATGGACTGGAGGCGAATCCGAAGGATCTGTCAGCGTTGACGGATCTCGAGTTTCCCGAATACTTGCGTACCATGCAATCTATTTTGGGCAGCCTGAACTATTACAGTCGCTTCATCGAGGGTTTGCGTGATTTTCGCGTCTGTGATGTATGAGTTGAGGGAGATCGACTATGCTGCGATGGAGAAGGGCATGAATCGAAGCCGGATCCAGCTAGCACTAGCGTCGGAATCCCCGGATCCAGACATGTTGACTAAGGATCCGACAAGTCCGCGACCCTCGGATCCGGGACCGCGGGGTCCGGATCCCGAACTCAGCGAGCAAAATCCGAACCTAATGGCACAGGATCCGATGCCTGATTGCAGGAAGGTGTCGAACCCCGATAAGGACAATTTTGCGGATCTGGATCCCCTGTGGATCCATGCTCACTGATCCTTCAAGGTGCTAAAGGAGAAGATCGCGGAAACGCCGATCCTACGTCACTTCGATCCGGATCGGCAAGCGGTGGTGGTTGTATATGCCAGTGATTGGGCGATCTCCGGTGCACTGATGCAAGAATATGATCAGATTTAATATCCAGTGATGTTTGGCTGTGCGAGCTAGCAAACCCCGACACTAACCTCACCGATCAATCAACCACTTTTCAACTTCCATTCCACTTGCACTAGGGAGCACCGTAAGCTTCGGTTCTCCTCTTCGTCTTCGCGTCTTCGCCTCTTCGGTTCTCTGTCCGTTCGCTCTCCCGGTCCTTGCATCGGCTTGTGTTACACGAGGGTCATCTACTTATGGGGTCTCAAGCGTGTTGTGCACGTGTTGCAGACCAACTCAAGTTGAAAATTTAACGTTACCCAACGTGGGAGAAGTAAAATATCTCCTAGGCATTGAGATTACCTTGGACGGTGTACAAAATTGCGTCGTGTATAGTCAACGTGCCCGCATTGACAAACTGCTCCAGACCCTTGGTCTTGTGAATATGTACGGATGCTGGACACCCCAATCAATCACCGAAATGAAATCTACGACCAAGCCAAGATGTGATGACAACGCATTGTCGTACAGGGAGCTGGTGGGCGGGCTTCAGGTACTTTCTGTAGGTTTCGCGCCCAGATATATCTCGCACGCCGTGAGATACCTCGGCAAGTATATCTCGTGTTACCCCGAGGAACACTACAATGAAGCTGAGCGAGTGCTTCGATACCTCCTACAAAAACGTGATTATGCACTTCACGTGGACGTCACCCTAGGAGATGAAGTGTCCACTTCGGTGTTCTTAGATTCTGATTATTCAAATATCCAGACCATGCCAAGTCGATTTCCCGCTACATTACACTCCAAGATTGGAATGCAATTTCGTATGCTTCAAAGAATCAGGGTATTAATGCTCAATCCAGTACTGATACGAATTACGTTGCAATGAATGAGGGTGTCAAAGACATACAATGGGTTGTAGAGCTGTGCAAAACACCACGATGACCTGCGTCAACGCCCGTGCTCCGAGGTGATAACAATGCTGCATTATACCTGTAGTGGGCCTAGGGCTCACTAGTTAGCATACACGTGTGCGCATGTGTAGGAGGAAGCGTAGGTGTTTCTAAGTTGTACAGCGTACACACGATGCGTGTGTACGGTAAGACAAGATAGGAGCTGGATAGCGTAAAATGAGAACTGTATTGTTTCCCTTAAAGGGTTTCCTTCCTAAACTGTTTATCAAATATCTAAGAGACTGTCAGCGGGTGGCTGACAGTGATTCGCATCGCTGATTGGTAGAGGTGAGACGCACTCTAGCAATAGGATCCCTTCAAATGCAGTCTTGGTGTGTGAACACACCAAGACTGCGTAATCATATTTTTATTTTTTGTGTTCGCGCCAAAACTATCTTATTACACTCGTTTTCATCGAGATGACTCTCTCCGGACAAGAAACGGCAAAATGGAGGTATTCCTGGTGCTTATCATCATTCTCTATGTACCTGTGGTGTTTTATCGGCGCCTCTAACGCCAAGAGGAGCACGAGAAGGCTGTCAGATTGCTCGGGTTGACTACTGAAGCCGGCCAGCGGTTCTTTCAAGCTATTCATGTGTCACCAAGACGAGGAGCCAAAACGTTACTACTCCCTTTGATGTACGTTCTGTGATGGTTTTGTTCAGCTTGTGTGTCAGGTTGTTCCATCCTGCCTTAGTCAGGCATTTGTCCGTCGTGGTAGTCTTTCGTGCTTCCTCGTAGGCTTGGAGAAAGTCGAACTCCTGCCAGGTAAGCCGCTCAGCACGAGACTGCTTGTCATCGTCTCCATCAGCTGCTTTCATCTACCCAGACCGCTTCACCGCCACTGCTGCAGACTTGTTCTCTGCCCCCTTGTTCCGCTTCTTTCCCATGCTTGCGCGTGCTCTTGTTTTGTATGCCGAAGA